TTCTTTCTTTCTTTCTTTCTTTCTTTCTTTCTTTCTTTCTTTCTTTCAGCAGAGCTACAGACTGATGTCCAAACCAATCCAGGTTTCAAAAGAAATGGGCCTTTCGTAGAACTGATAGGACGCAGCCTTGATATTTTGGAGAAAGCAGGACAGTGGCTTAGAGATATCATATTGGTTGAGGAAACTGGACGGATTGTTATAAGAAATCACAACATTTTAAACCTGAGCAGTGTCCAGCCTCTTGAACTGTCTCATCTCCAGCAGCATTTTGGCATTACCATCCTGGAGAGTGTAAGTGGAACAGGGACAACCCTAGAGATTGAAGGGTCCCCCCGAGCTGTGATTGATGCAGCTTTTGCAATTGAATTCATGCTGCAGTCTACAGCCAAGCAAGAGACTCTTAAGATGGATGGTACGTAGAGTTGTATAAGCATATTCCATTGATAACAGAAATTAATTTAACCTTTAACAATTGACAGAGTAATTCACTGAAAATTAAAATCATTTAATTTTTTTAAAGGCAGACTTCTAGTCTTTAGAAACAGCAATTTTAGAAATGTACATACTTGTCACTGAACTTAAAGAGAGTTTTTTTTATAGCATCTCACTATGAATTGCCCAATGCTTGCTGAAAAGAGCAAACAGCGGATGGGCAGAATGCCAAGACAAAACTGCACAGACATAAGTTGTACCTTTAAATGTGTATATCGTGACTTTATTCTTATAATATAGAAAGTAATAGAAATCCATGTCAGATAAATTAAAATAGCAGACTTGTATAATAATAGACTGAACCTGTTCTGATCTGAGAAAATCACCCAGCCATCTTTTTCAGAAAGCCAGAGGATGGCTTATTGTCACTATTTTGTTAAATCACATAAACCAGTGCAGTGTTAGAATATTATTTAATCTTTTCTTGTCAGCTACCAGGTGTCATATTGCAAATTCTAATAAAATTGATACATCTTTTATCATATCACTGGAATTCACAAGGGATCAGAGCTTTGAAACAACATATGGTAAACAAAAATGTGTGGGCAAAGTTAACTATTTTTCCTTATTTCATCTTAGAAATATCATTTGTACAGATATGCCTAGTCAGAAATACCAAGTAGAGATATTTAAAATGTTTTTCTGGTTTGAATGTATGTATAGGGCTGGGGGTGGATGTACATATACTCCCATTTTTTATTCTCTTAATTTCTAGAGTTGTTATTAGCTTTGGCTTTTTTAAAATTGTATTTTTATTATCTTTTTATGTTAGCACAAACTTTTTTAGGGCAAGAATAGCAGAGCATTATTCTATGTTTAATTTTTTTCCATTTACAGAACAAATAGAATTAAGGACCATCATCCCATTCCTTTTAAGTTTTCAATTTATTTTTCAGTCTGGTTTAAATCTTGGTTTAATTTTATCTTGGTTTAATTTTTATTAAGCAGTGTATTATTTGCATCCAGGATCTTTGGAGAGCCACCCTCATCAGGAAGGGGATCTGGAGATGGCAAACAGATGCTTTTATCAAATCACCCCAATAGAGTCTTACCTTCAAGAATTCAAGGACAAAGAAAAACAGCTCGAAAAAGCCGGCCTCCAGGTTCTAAAGGTGAATGGCAAAATAACACTAGAAGATTGTGTTGCATTATTGATGTACCAAATTAACCAAAACATAAATAAGATTGAAATCAATTTAATGACTGATAGGGTTTCATAGACACAAAGTCTCTGGATGTCCTAAACTGCAAGTTAAACTGTACATTAACTGGTTGCCACTTCCCCCATTCTTTGAAGCAGCTGACTCGTCAGGGTTAACAATGTCAACTTTGAATCTTGGGTTAGCCTTCCATGAAGGGAAAAAAAGATTATTTAATCCATCTGAGGGATTTAAAATTATTTAATTCAGCTGACCTGTTGATTTCCCATTTTGCAGCTCCAAACCTGATCTTCCATACAGCTCTGGAGGGCCCCCTGAGATTTTATGGAGTCATATTGGCTTGTAGGAGTTAGCATAACCTGCTTCCTTTTCTCTTCCATTATCAGGAGCATTGAGGATTCCCTGTTGGTGGAAACTGGGGAACTAATTGTAAACCTGATACAGCTGTTGCTTTTGTGTGTGTGTGTGTGTGTGTGTTTAATCAAGCACTAGCCTTGAGATGAATAGAAAATGTTTCACTCAAGAGACAGATGTCAGTTTCATACAAATCATTAGCTCATGCTAGATTTCAAAAGAGGCTACAGAATTCCAAAATCTAAATAAATACTCTGCTAAACAAATAATTCCTTCAACATTGTCCAACTATTTACTATCACTATTAATCTTCTCATCACTCCTTATTACCCATCCCCTCCCACTGGTGACTGTATGACTGTAACTTTGTATCCTTACAATCTATATTGACTGTTTCCTAGCATGATTTGATTGCTTATTGAACCCTATGACTATTATTAAGCGTTGTACCTTATGATTCTTGACTCTTGACTCTTTTCTTTTATGTATACTGAGAGCATTTGCACCAAGACAAATTCCTTGTGTGTCCAATCACACTTGGCCAATAAAAGAATTCTAATTCTAATTATAAAACTAATGTAACAAGCCTGAAAAAGGATAACAATGAACAAACAATTACCTAATTCCTGTTGTGAATGGAAAAATAGACAGGGTTAATATTTCACAGAAAACAAATCCATATTCTAGAACAAAATCTTGGTTGAACATTGATTTATTTGTACAGAAAATTGATAATCCTTGAATTGGATGTTTCTTTGATTCAAGTACCTGGATTTCCTCCAGAATCCTGGAGACACATACCAGGCAGCATCTCTTGTGTGAGGAAAGGTTTGCTGGATAGGCAATTTCTGCTGGTTGGCAGGTGAATTACGCTCACAGATTTTATGCTGTTGGTAATAAACAGGGCACATCCTTACTGTTCATTTTTATTACAGATAGAGAAAATACATAACCCTCTTTTAGAATCTGCTTTCCAAAGGGTAAAAAGGAAAATAGAAGGAAGAAATACTGGAATGCCTGTATGTCATAGATTGTACCATCATGTCCCTGCTCAGTATTGTAGCCTGGTGTGCAAAACTGGATTTCAGAAAACTTACTCCTCATTACAAGGTAAACCACATATGTTGCTGTAATGCTGTAAGAAACACAGAATATTTTTCAGCACGTTAAATGCCCTATTTAAGAACCCATTAGTTCTTAAATCTTAATTTCTATACTGGTGAAAAACAAGACTGGAGTTTTCATTCTTAAGTGTAAGGAACCCAAATTAACAGGACTAGACTGTGGTGCCCCTCTTGTGTCCTTTTGGGCTTCTTATTCAAACTTGGCAGTAAATTACAAATGACCAGACATTTAACTCTTAATTCACTCCTCAGCTATTCTAGGTAGAAGATTCCCAGAATGATTAGAAACGAGAGAGTAAGCAAGAATTCAGTCTCAAACATAGCAACTGATTCCCCAGCTGCAGACCATATATCTATCTTCCAGAATATAAACTCTAGACTTCTATCTCTTGCCTTTTTGAATTAAGAAATTAGCTCGTTTTTTGGCTGTGGTATACCAAAATACAATTACATAATGCCTCCCCTCCTGGCCTGAGAATGAATGGGGCCCACCTCAGTTTTAATTACTCTATTTCTAATCGTTATGTGTGATTATTTTAGTGGTTATTTTCAGCATGGTTCCTAAGTTTGTTTACTGCGGTCAAATTAGTCCTTATGATTCTACCTAGTATATGGTTGAAAGATGAAAGATACTGCAGTCAGCTACTCGTTTATATTGCCATTATAATGTAAATATGGTAAAACAGCTTGCATTTTGTGTCATTTTTCAGATCAGAAATATGGAGCTGGCATATATTTTAAAAAGAACCCCCGGAAACTTATAGCAGATACCAGAGAAAAATGTGAAATGGACCATTTGATCTGTGTGTTTGAAGCAGAAGTTGTAACAGGATCGTACACAAGGGGCAATCGGAGTTATATAGCGCCACCATTAATTAACACAAGCAGTATGAAACTCTACGATAGTGTGGTTGATGATATTCATAACCCTGAAATCTTTGTCATTTTTAATAAGGACCAAGCTCTACCACTGTACTTACTGACATGTTCTCTGCTTTGGAGCCCTGATCAGAAGGCAAGTTTGGAACCATCATCCTAGAATCTGTGAATCCTTAATGTTAATTGAAACACAGGCACTAGTTCTGTGTTAGATTAGGTAATAAACATATGGCAGTTCTGTAATGCAATGAAACAAGAAATCCCTGCAACATTATATTCTTGAAGTCTCCTTATTCTTTCATGTTATTTCAACAAAAGATAGTTAAAATCAAGCCTTCATTTTATTTAAAACAGAAATGCTACAGCCACAAGTCCTTATATTAAAGTATTAATTTTAAGCCATCTGAACTGGGGGAGGGAGAAGGGGTTTATATTTACTTACCAGTAGTTACTGTGGTCATTAGCCATTACAAGAGAATTGTTATGCAGATATCCAAAACTAAATTGACCATGTCAGGATTGTTAAGGAAAGTATGTAAAGACAAAAAATAATTGGCTAAAAGACAACATGAAATCAAAATATGATAAAGGGTTTGTTTAGGCTACACATATGCAACAAGAAGAAATTAAAATAATATAAATAATAATATAATATAAATAAATTCTGAAATAACAGCATAAAATACAAATGCAATGCAAATACAAATATACACATATAACATATTCATGTATATTTGTAAATAAAATAAAATTATCCAAAAAGGATTTAAGAATTACAAATGTCTCTTACAAAATCTAAAAAAATATATAGTACAATAACTGACATGTCATTTACATTCCAAAGCAAATGGTTAGTTCAGAGCTTCAGCCATTTCTGGCTATCCATCCTCAGTCACGTTCAATTGCTCTTAATTACCATATTTTTTTGTCTAGTTTTGCATGGCAATCTTATATGTTATCTCAGGATTGGTATAAGGATGTAAAATTTATTAATGTTGATTGTTGCATTTTGCTAGTCAAGAATAAAATCAGAGCATTTCAGGGTTCTGTATAAAACTGGAAATACAGAAGAACATGTCACAAGGACCCACTCATATGGAGTATGGTGGGGGTTTTTCGTATTTCTGAGCCAGAAGAACTGAAGATATAGTATTTACATTGGGCTAAGGTTATAGTCCTTTTCTGATATGGGATGCTAAGTTATTCTGGAATCAAAACTCAAAGCAAATTAGATTCATTGCCGTGATCTATTAGTATATACCAGAGGAGCTCTCCTCCAGAATAGTGCGATCCCTGCAGACAAAGAGATGCACCCATATTTATGTATTTCAGAACAAAGGGGAAAATAATTCAAAAAGCAAGGAGAAATGATGCAATGCAAAGAAGTAATTACCTAACAGATCTCAGGTTACTTCCTACCCTTTTGTTATCTACAGTGAACAGTGGTCCTAGTTAGAAGATATATTTGCATCTTAAGATTCAGGGGATGTTTTGGACTGTTCTGATAAAACTTAGCATATGCCCTTTGAATTGCAAGGCCAGATTCCTCATGCCTCAATTTGTCTATTAAACAGTTGCATTCATTTAAAAACTGGTTTTCCTCACACTGTGTAAGATGCTGGTGTCAAGAGTTTATCTCCTGCTGTCTGCCATGGAAAGCTGAGAGATATTACAAGCATCCTTATATTAAGGATTATATCAAGCATCCTATATTAAGCAGACATTACTTAAGTTTGACCTTTGCTTGCTCATAGTCCAAAGATCGTGAGGGGAAATCCTAGGAGCTTGTGTGCTGTAAACTGCTTGCTTCCACCCAGTTTTGAGACCTGTCTTTTAATGTCAGTAAAACTAACTAGAGAAAAGTGTCAGCTCCAACCAGTACAGAAATACAGCTTGCCATATTTTAGTCTCATCATTCCAGCCCCCATATATACAGGAGTGAAGTACTGGAGACACAATGAGGAATTTGGAAAATTGCACCCCCACCCCCACTGAGCCACTAAATTCTTTTGAGGCCAAGCCTTTAACTATCCGGCACTCAATTGGGACTACCTCATACACACACATGCACACGGATGGGTTTCTTAAACACGAATGTTTTGGAGAATAGTTTTTTCTGTAACTAATTTCCTAAAATTAATCTCTTATAAATTCAGAAATTCTAAACCACAATTCCAAGTACCTTCATGTTTATATAAAAGGGGGTACAATCAGTGCTGGGTGAAATAACCTACAATCGTATAATGGGACTTCACTTGTTCTCAGCATTCCCCCATTTTCAGAGGGTTTTAACTCCCTAGAGCCGTGATGGCGAACCTATGGCATGCGTGCCACAGGTGGCACACAGAGCCATTTGTGCCGCAAGCGAGCGGCAGGCAAACTTACCTCATTGTACATGTGCGCATCTCATAGCTGATTTTTGACCTGTTTGAGGCCTTTTTCGGCCTTCCAGAGGCTTGAGGACAAAATAGGCCAGTTTAGTCACTTCCTGTATTTCCGGAAATGCTGGAGTGATGAAACGGGGCCATTTTTCGGTCTGCAAAGCCTGCAGAGGCCTTCCTTAAGCCCCTGCGAGGCCCAAAAAGGCCTCAAACGGGGCAAAAATCAGCTGTAAGGCACAGTGCAGGTAAGGGGGCGTGGTGGGGGGAATTGCGCGTGCATGTGCAGGGGACATGGTGGGGGTGCGCGCATTGCCTTCTGGGTGCTGGCATGTGAGGGCTCATGCACAAGTGTGCGCAAAATTTTTGGCACAGGAGCCCAAAAAGGTTAGCTACCACTGCCCTAGAACAGATTTGTGGAGAGGGGTTAAACATTCAGTTGATGAACGCTAGTCAGTTAGAAATTAAAAGGACTCAACTCTTTTGTTCTTAGGTAGCTTATTATATTAAATGCCAATAAATGAATGTTAAATTTTACGATACCTATGGAGTTTAATATTATAAACTAGATCATTCATTCATCCATTCAATTAATACAGTATATGTGCAACAAGTTTTGCACCTCCAGTTACACTCATATATATATATAGCACAAATATTTAAAATTGCAGTATTATTTAAATGTACAAATTTTCAAGTTTTTTTCTCTATTTGAGAGCCAAGTATTTAGATATTAACTTTCACTTACAGTACCTATTTTCAAATTCCAATTTTGTTGCACATGATTAGAACAGTGTAGAAACACAGTGAATTATAGGAATCATATGGATTATCTAGTCACATTAAACAATATTGAAAAGTAGGCTGTGATGTTTTTGGTACAAAAAAAATGCCATTCTTTTGCTTTGTTTTCAGATTGCGAGGGATAAGAAACATGTTTTCTTTCAATATTTCTTAAAATTGAACTGTTTTGTGCTTAATTTTAAAACATACCTACTATTGGATGTCACAGGTTATTTATCAAGAATATTTAGAAACTAGCTAACAAGAAAGAAGAATTGTCTTATACAGTGATACCTTGGTATTCAACTATTTTGAACCTCATTGAATTTGGTACACAACATGTTTTGACCCCAAAAATTTGTCCCAGTACTCATTGTTTGGTACAAGCTAGAACTTGTCAATGTCAGCTGTCTTGTGATTCACTCCATTGTTCCTTATGGGACAAATTGTTTGGTACTCGTCATTTTTGGTCCTTATGCCACCCGGAAACAATTAACAATGAGTACTGAGGTACCACAGCATATAAAATATTAATACTTAAGAACTAATATATTACATGTATCAGTATATATGGAGTTCAATAAAATCTTAAAACATTCAGAAACAGGATTTGAAATTTGTAATAGGCTATAAGAAAAGCTTTCATCTGCAATGCTGTAATGTTTTTTTAAAAAAAACTATTTAGCTTGGTATTCTTAAATCAGTACTGTTTTTCTTTTAAGAGTCTGTGAAGGTACAAACCAAATATCAAGAAAAGTCAGTTTTAAATACTGCTCACAGTCCAACAAAGAGTTAGAGCTCCATAAGCCCACTAAATTCACGTGTTATATTTGTTCACACCACTATTTAGATACATATAGACCATTCCATAACACTAAACATAAACCTCTCTTATTCCTTTAGATTTCTATATTAATGAGAATAATATAGTTTCTGGTACTGTCATTGTTATAGTTTTGTTTACATTCTTTTTAAAAAAATAAATTTTACAAAAAGTTTTAAAGAGACTATAAAAACTAAAATAAACTCGTAAGGATAAAGAAAACAAAGAAAAAAGACAAAAGAACATAAAGAACATAAAGAAAAAAGCAAAGCAAAAAGGCTTCCAATTTCCTTTGCAGTAAATATAAATATGATTACAAAGTTATCACTTACTCTGTAATTACAAAAAGCTCTTTTTTTCTATTATCTTTTTCCCTATCCTCAAAGGTTCACAAATCTTAAGTGCATTTTCTTTTCTGTTTCATGCAAAAAGTCTAAAGGGGTTTGCAGTCGGCCATATCTAGATACTGCCTTTTCTCTAATCAAGGAAATCAGGAAATTAGCCCTCTCTGCAAGTTCCATCATCTTCACCAACTATTCCTATTGTGGATAGCACTGAACTTTTCCACTTCTGAACATATAATTTCACTGCAGTCATTATTTATAAAAACCAAGTTTCACGGCTTTTTTAATCCCAAAAGATAAGTTTATGATTTCAATTGTACATTCATCTTTATCTTCTGAATTAATATATTTGTATCCAAAAATGTATGTCTTTTTTTACATATCATATATAATAAAATATCCCTTGATGTTGTTCACATTTCCAATAAATATTTGAAATACCTTCATACATTCTACACAATTTCTCTGGTGAGAAATGCCAACAATACAGCATTTTATAAGAATTCTCTTTAAGGCTAGAATATAATATAAATATAACGTAGCCCTTTCAACCACTTATTTTTCCATTAATCCATTTGTATAATGAAGTGAAAAGGCTTAGACCATTTTATCTTATGTTCTTTCTTGTTCTTCTTCTGACTCCACAAATTCCACAAAAGTTCATACATTTTGGCAATAACACGCTCATCATTTGTGCAAAATTCTATTTCAAACTCAGCCCTGCATTATTCAAATACATATTTTATCCACTTTAAACTTTCCTGATAATTGTTTATAAGAAAATTATTGAAAAGAATAACCTTCTGTTGTTACATCCCTTGATTTTATTTTATTTTACAATCCTTTTAAGAAAACTCTTGTTAGGTATAACATAGGTCACCTAACTAGTTTGGGTAAAATAATATATATAAGCTATGATTGTTAGTTTAAGTGTGTGTCACTTTAACTGCAAAGCATGTATTTTTGGGTGTGGTGTGAAACCACCATAAGAGGCAGCAAGACAACCTGGCTGATTGCTGACGAGACGCTGACGTTTTGCTGGCAATTACTGACAATTACTGGATTGGATTACGTTGATGTTTGGTAGGTTCGTGTTTCTCTACTGCTGAGTTTGCTGATAAGAAGAGAGGAGTTTCTGAGTTTTTGCATATCTCTCTACTGCGAGGAGATAAATCACCGGACTGATTTGTAAGTTTACTGACCTCTCTTTTTCGACACTGGAATTTGCAACTGAATAATCCCTGGACGGACTGAACTAAGTGAATGATATATGGACTGTTTTGACTATGCTTTAACTCTTGCCAGAATAAAACTATTTAATTAGCACTGTGCCTCTGTTTACTGAGTGTAAGCTACAATCTCACATATTCTGCCTGCCTGCCTGACTGCCCTGCAGATCTTGCTAGGGGTGTATCCCTAACAACTCTAGTACATTTATATTTATCA